AAATGTGGAGTAAACATAGTAGCCAGAGTGTCAGGCGACATTCGATTGGAGGCTTCGTTGTCCGCAGTCAGTCGTAACAACCGCAAGAGTCGCTGTAAGAAGTTCCTGTGCGACGGTGTTAGAAGTAGCAGTAGCAGTTGCAACGCTGTTAGCAGCTTTACTTCTGATGAATCCGCATTCGGAGGGTATTGCGCTGTGAATGTGATTACGAAATATTATAAAAAGGTAAAATTTGAAAGTTTTTAGGTAGGGGGTAAACCTTTGGAACTGTTGGTCGGATTGCCAAAATTCTTTCACTGATAGATAGCCTACAATGTTCCTGCTATAAAACATCGCCCATTGCCCCGAATGTGGCGATTAATGCTCCAAACTTCTTCCTGTGACAAGAAGCCTTTGCTCAGCAGTGGGCACTTATACTAGACTGGTGGTGGATAGATGAACAAAAGTATAGAATTTCTAATTGATTTGTATCTGCTCCACTGGCGTAGTATACACCATCCGATCTTGGGATGAAATCAATAAAAAGATAATACACTATTTGAACAGAAGAAAAACTAAATAGTTTCTACTTCCCTCATCAAATTTAATGCAGGAGACAGAAGTACCTAAAGGCACAGAGATACTGCATATATACAACTAGGAGAAGTCCAGTTGCTAAACACCATGTAAATTTGATAAAAACTAAGTGGATCCTATGTGTGAACTTTTGATCTGTGCTTGTGCTTAGTTCTAGTCCAGTTTTCCTATAAAATGTTTTCTTTCACCATATGTCAGTGGCATCAGAATATTCTGAGAAGGTTTGATTCTTGGTTTGAACACAAGACCCCCAGGCCAATAAAATAGTCAAACAGTTAAACATTTAGTTATGTCTTATAGAACTGTCCCGCACCCCCTCCAATCCCCAACTTACCAGCCAAAGTGCAATATGTCTGATAATACTGGTCCATCAATAATGGCTGTGGTAACTCAGCAAGGAAACCCTTCAACACTGATGCACAATCATGGACAGAAAACTTGCCCTCATCCAAACCCAGGTTGGTGCCAGTAAGGAGCAAGTTCTTCAGTTCTTGCTGTCTGCTCAAGGAGCCTGTTCTGCGAAATATTCCTTCTTGGGTAACATCTGGAATTTTTAAAAGTTGATGTAAAGTTTTTTGTTGTTAATTGATGATAGCTAGAACTTTAATAAAAGAGGATTGTATTGTTTGAAATTGTAACAGGTCAGTCATAAAAAAACATATTGAGAAAAAAAATGAGTATCTATTTTTTTACAAATATTTTTTTAACATATTTAAAGTGTTTATTTGTAGATACATTTTGTCACCCTTTTTCTCTTTCATGTAAAAATGACTTAACAGATCTAAATGAAATATGAATTAAAATGTAGATTACAGGCTGAAAAGACATATAGGCTAGTTTTTAATGTTGCACTGCAGAGTGAAACCCTTAGGAAAAAAAGACCTAATAGTCATTTGAAAATAGAATACACAATTCAAATATTTTAAAATAATAAAAAAAACAATACTCATTCTGTTTTTTCATCCTAAGTTATTTTTTTAATACAAGAATTTATCACAATAGTGCTTAGCTATGGAGGCATGTTAAGAACCATTTCTGATAAGAAATTGTAGAGGTTTCATTGAGTGGGTAAGGAAAAGAGGTCTTTTATGTATAAGGTAATTTACACCTAATAAAACAGCTCATAATAGAAATAAAATTATTTTATACAATTTTAAACACTTAAAAACGCAATAAGATTCAAATTACTTACTATCGGGTTTAGATAGAAAATCTATCAGCTCATTGACTCTCAAAATTCCATCTTCAGTTATTGAACTCACTTCTACATTATTTTTCGTTATGTTTGTGTTATTTTGACTAGAATTTGAACTGGAGTTCTTTGTTTTCTTATGGAAGTTCCATCGGAACTGCTTTGGTTTATCAGTTGAACAATCAACACTGAAAATTAACAATATTTACGTCAACAATACGAGCACTTCACTAAGGTTATAACGGCTTCCTGAACTTAAATTACTCACTCGTCAGTATTAATATCTACAACAAAAGATAGGTGCATGCGCACTAAAGTAAAGAATTGTTCTAAATTCTCCTTCCGTAGCCTTTCAATCAGTGTTAAATCCGCCGAAGTCATATTTTTTTAGTCAACACAAAGAAGTAAGAAATAAGAAGAGATAACTAAAACAACACTCTAAATGTGTTCATATTTTCTGCAAAGTATAATAAACACCCGTTGTACTAAATTATTTGGTACAAGATATATCCATTTTGTTTAAAATTAAGAAAATATAAAGAAGAAATAATCACAAGTTACATTGTTTTCAAATGTCATTTTATCACAACGGAAAATTGTGTTCGTTCAGAAACTAAAACACAACTAACTGCTCGTTCCGAAACCTAGCAAGGAAGCGAGACTGGGTTCAATTTATCAAATATTATTTTAGTATCATTTTAATTGATTATAATTTTATTTGATTATTAAATTTAATACTTAATTATCATATAGTCGATTTTTGATTTTCATTTTTCTTTTTTTTATTTCTTTTATAAAAATGAATAACTTATGCCGAACTCAGCACAACAAAATTCTAACTCAATTGAGGAAGAGCGGGGTTTATCCCAACACAAGTATCTTCGGATTAATTTCTGGGAAGCCCCGGCAGCTAAATTGTATAGATTTAAGATAATAAACACATTTTAATGTTTTCAAATTAAATTACAATGATCAAGGATTATTTATGCCGAAGGCGTGTATTCTGGTAGTACAACTTATATTAATTCCCAATATATCTTCGTTTTTGCTTTGATAACTTTTCTAAAATTTACATATTTGATTATAAATCATTCTTTTCCACGTTTTAAGTGTGGGCGAGCCATGCTTCGGCACGAATGGGTCGGCTCTACTGGAGTACCACGGCCTCACAGAAAACCGGCGCGAAAGCGCTGATTGCTTACCATCTATACATAAAAAAAGGAAGTCATTCAATTTTTTTTACTAAATACCTACTTCTGAATTACTAGATACGTATAGTACCTTTGTTTCAATGCACAGGCCACCTATTCTACTAATTAAACTGTTGTTGATTCAAAACCAATATACTTCGTCAACAGGATACCTACCTATTAATATCGCTTCATTTATTTTTGTAACGGAATGATGGCAACACCAAAGCAATTCGTATCGTAGGTTTATTGGTCCCCAGACGAGGTTTCGGGGCAAGCAGCCGAACAAACGCAATAAGACACCGCGTCTCTGCCTAGAACTCATTCAGGGCGAGTCTGACGTGGGAAAGTCATTTGATGATTTCCTCCTTACAAAAAAAGGTTGACTGGGCACAAGAATGATCAACTATTGGTATAAATTTCTAATCCAGTTCTATTGGTATGGGTATTGTGTATTCATAAGCAAAAGGCAAACAAATGATATATAGAGTTTATTACATAATCACAGTCTTACATTAAAGAGATATATTTAAGCTATAAAGGGGCATTTAAAACATATCATCATGTCCCATTTCAGCTAATAAATTGAGTCCTCTTTCTTTCAAAGCTTTGGAAAGTAACTTCTGTTGTTCAATCTTTCCATCTTGCTCTCGCCTTTGTGCATCAAGAATATCGTCTACAGATACTTCGGTCAGTGGTAAATTGTCTTCTTTGTCTTTGTCCTAAAAAAAATGTGTTTAATGTTTAGTACCTAATGTTATTAAATAGCTCTCTATAACTCAACCTTTCAATTGTGGTAATTTGAGACATAAAACTAAGGCAATAGGTGCTTGAATGCCAGTGTGTGCTTGGGGTTTAATGAGTTAAATGAAGTTGTCTGAGTATTAGAGCTCTGCTAAAGGTTGGATAGAATTTGGCCACTTTGTTTTTAAGGTTTTGGTACCAGAAAAGGTTGTCTCCTCTGTTGTGGTTGGATTTACACAATACAATCAGACCCCAAACAGCAATGTACCATACAAATAATAATTCCGTACAGGAATTGAACCTGTAATTTACTGCACAGTAGCCAGTTTCCTGGTCAACAAGCTCACGATGTTGTCAATTTTATAATGTATTTTTTTTTTATATCCTGTAAATTTAGTTTCTAAACTATTATTATTATTTATAGGAAGATGGCAGCATTATGGTACTTTAAATCTCATGTGAAATCAAAATTTAATTCTACAGCATAAAAGAAGTACAAGCCTGAGAATAGAATTTTTTATGTCAGTTAAAAATGGTGCTACATTATAAAGTATAGAATTGAAAATGATCTGAAGCTATGTCTACACAATAGATCACATGTCTGGTTTCAGTCAAGAATGAGAGTTATCTATAACTAAAGTAATTTATTTCACAATATTTTTTCATTTGATGTCTGCGAATCTACAGGAGTATCTAAAGCACCAATAACTAAAATACAACTATTAAGTAGTTACCTACTATTAATTTTAAATTAAATAGTCATCAGTAAAGTATACAATCGATACTTTATGTCAAAATAATACCATATCATCAATACAACCAATACAAGACAGCATTTAAATTAGAAAATGAATTTTACTGAAGAAGTTCGAATATGAAACTAAGTTCTATGAATGATATACTATTAATATTGATTAACTTACGATTTCACCGAGGAGTACTACATTTTCGCCTCTTACGATAAATATGCCTCGGGGAATGTCGCCATACTCTCTGCCGACATGGATCCTTTCTATCGTCTTGTGCAGAACTAAGTTGGCGAACTGATCCACGCAGCGAAGGTATCCAATCAGTGTCCTCCCATCCCGCAGTAGCACCATCAGTTTCTCTTTGTAAAGCAAAAATTGTTTTGATCAAAATAAATAACACGAGTTGAAGAAGATAACAATTAAGTTTTATGACACATACTGTCTAACTCATCTAGCAAATGCGCAGTCCCCGCTAAAGGATTTATATTACTAGACATTTCGTCAGATAATTTAGTAAAATGCGAGTTTTAATTTAAAATTATCTAAAAAATGCTTCAAAACGCTGCAATCCACCGAGCCAGACAAGTTGACAATTACAATATGACAATGACAAATGACAACACAAACGATGAGATCTTTGACAGACATATTAATAATGACAGCCGACAGGCGGTACATTTTTCAATTTAATTTTTCCAACGAAAAATCTTAGTATAAATATTTAATTAGGTTAATTTATAATTACTGGGACCGGGAACCGACTCAATGGTTGTGTATTTCTCAATTGATATATTTAATTTTCTTTGTACAAAAAAAAACACTGTTTTAATTACTTGTTTAATCTGTTAATGTTCATTTTGAGTCTATGACATTATCCAGGCCATAAACTCCAAAAAAAAAAAAAAAGTCTATGACATTGTGAATAGGAACGAACCGATCTGTCATTGTAGGAAGTTTAGTAATCGTCAGTTTAGTGCATTCACATTTTTACACAAAATGATTATAATGTGCGCTTTGAATCCATGAGTTAATTTTAGGCGTGAACACGACAACGAATTTTTGTTTGTGCTATGTTTTTTAGTGTTATTCGTAATCAAAAAGAGTTTTTACATTCAGAAAAATCAAACGCAAAATATGGAACAAGACGACGAGATCAAATCCGGTTGTTTATTATTTCCGCCTGCCGGAGGGAATATGTTTAGTAAATTTCCCAAGAAGGTATAAATCTAATATCTAACTTGTATTTAAGTATATGAAATTAATAGTGCATATGATTCATGCACCATCACGTAATCTGGTTATAGCATTATTGTAATCAAGTAATGACTCAATGGAAAGGTAGTTGCCGTGTGTTGATATTGCCAATTCTGTTTCCTTTCCACTCGATGTTTAAGAATAAACTAGGAAAACGATTCAAAATATACCTACATTTGTTTAGTAAAATAAGGTAAAAGGATAAATTTGGTTCTAATGTATGATAAAACATACAAGTACAATGTTATTTATATAAACTTGCGTATGTTTAGCTATATTAGTAAATAATCCAGTAACAATTCAGTATTGTCTTGTTGTATTAACTTGAGATATTATTTTTACTTTAATGTATAATGGGTATTCAACCTTTTATTACCAAGCTATCTAAGGAAATATGATGTGAAACTGGCTATCTGACTGGGGAAACTGTTGTAAAATTTTTATTGCATTATGAACTGTAATAAATGGTAATATACTGAAGTCTAATTACTTCCTCTGATTGTTCACAGAAAAACTGGCAACAAAAACACTGTATCCTCTTCACTGCCAGCAAACAGGGGATTGAGCGTCTTGAAATATTTGATAACAAAGATGATGTTGCATCTGGTGCTATTCCCAAAATTATCACCCTCGAAAATTGTATTAAAATAACACATTCTAGTCCAAACACTATTACAATACTTACTAAGTCACACACCCAACAATTAAGCACACAGTCAGAAGCAGAAACATTAGAATGGGTAACTGCCCTGCAATCAGTGGCTTTTAAGGACAAGGATTCCAGTCCTTTCAGCTGTGACGAAGACAATGATCTGTACTGTTCATCAGGAGAGGGAGTATTCTCAGTCAAAATGTGCCCCTCTGAAGCATCAACTAGATGTGGTTTTGAACCAATCAGATATCTTCTTCTGCTTACATCTACTGCCATAGAATTAAGAGGTCAAAATGATGACAAAGTGTATGCCACTTGGCCATACAGGTTTATTAGACGTTATGGTTATAGACAGGGTAAATTTACTTTTGAAGCAGGGCGAAAATGTGATACAGGTGAAGGCATCTTCCATTTAGAACACCCAAATCAATCAGAAATCTTCAAGTGCTTGTCTCTAAAAATGAAGACTATGAAGCAAATGATTGGCAATGACAATCTGAACAGTCCTGAACACAGTGAATTCAATATTCAGTCAAGTGCCAATTTGTTTCCAGGCTCTAGAAGTCCTTTAGTTGCTGCTAGACCTGATGACTTGAACTTGAGTTCACTATCATTCAAGACTACTTCTGTATCAAGCCAACAAAGTTCATGCTCAGAAAGAGATACTGCACCTTTACTGATGCCTAAACCAGCATTAAAACCTAAACCACTAAAGCCACCTCGTAAAATCATCAATCTACCTAAGAAACAAGAGATTCCAATTTCAAATGAAGAGACATCTGATTTTGCAAGATTTAAAAAACTTGATAATTATGAACCAATAGACCAAGGAAAAAGAGAACCCAGTCCTCCTAGCCAGTCAGTGCCATATGACAGTGTTGAGGTAAGATCTGATGCATGGAAAACATTAGGAATAGATGAACCTGAACACACTGAGTTCACTCCTAACTTGGGCGATAATCCAAACTGTATAAAACTTATTTCTCGATCTCAAGATAACTTGAATACCACTGGTCCAGAATCTTCAAGAATCATTCTACTTCCAAGTCCAGTAGTTGATCCTGAAGATGAAAATTATGACAGATTGGCATATTTTGGTTCAACAAGCAAATTGAACAAGTCATCACGATATAAAAAGATAGAAGCAAGACCTACGACTTTGGCTCTTGGTGAACCAAAGAGTAAAGACACTTGGAATGATTATGATGAGGTTGAAAATGTTATGCAGACAGCCAGATTGGCAGATGATTCTCATTTAGGATATGGCATGATAAGAAAACCTAACACCCCAGGGCCACAAGTACCAACTGCTGCTCAAGTCCAAGCACTCCAGAACCAAGTTGGCTTGGAAGATGTGGCACATAACATGTGCAATGGGACCGATTATGCTATCGTTAGCCGTCCAAAAAGAGTATAACACATTATATTACAAGAAAAATATAATTTTTAAGACTGAAATTTTGTCAGTGATTGTTCACTCAATTACTTTATTATTAGGCATTACATTTAAAATGATATTATTGGCAAGTTGATCTTACTGTCTAACACTCAACACTTTGGAAACAGAGTATTATATTGACAGCAAACACTACATACTTTATTAAGGGTAAACCTACACATGTTATGTTGTAATTCAGAAGAACTACTAAATAATATCTGTTTTTAAAAAAATGATCACTTTTAAAAGTATATTCTGTGTATTTTGTAAGACAAAATCCTACATAATAACAACTGTTGCATTCCTTTCTACATTCTTTTTATATTGTTAAGATTTTTGTACATTAATATTTGTATAATTTAATTATCGCACAAATAATACTTATTATATTAATTGTAAGAGATTATGAAATGTATTACATATGTGATTAATATGTGCCTTATTTTTATAGGATATTTTTCAGAAATGATTACCAACTGGTGCCAATTAAAAATATTTTTGTGTAACTTTTTATCTGCTATTATTATAAAGTATTAAGTGTAAGATCTATCTTTAACTTTAGGGGTGGGACAGCATTCATATCTCTATGATTGATAGAAATTGTCATAGACTTATATAACACTTTTAAGATCCATTATTTTTGTAAACCCAGTCTACACTATTTCAATGACTTTTTAAAATGAATATGAAATGTTGCCCTACTATGGTTAAGAATCTGTTTCGATTTTATATTTTTAGGTTGGCCATATTTGATTTGTAATCTCTTGTAATATGGATCGAGAATAAATCATATAATCTTTTTATTTCAGTTTTTTATTTGATATTCTATTTACAATATTGCATTTTTCAGGTATGCTGTTTTTCTATATCTAACAAAATAACATAACCAAAATAAATGTTTTACATTTAAAAATAATTACAAAAATCTTAAATGTATTTGGTTTGTACAGCTAACACCACAGTGAGATACTTGTTTGAAGCTTGAAGCATGATATTAAAGCAAATAATTTCTTAACATCTTTGTCTTGAAGTTATTATTACAGTACAGAACATTAATTGTAAGTATGTGGATATCATTAAAATTTGATTGTGGCAATGTTAAAGAAAAATAACTACAATTTTTAGATGATGACTACAACTAACTAGTTAGAACTAGTAGATAATTATAAATAACAAAAAATACTCTGGCTTAATGATTCAAAAATTAGTATGGTAATTTATGCACTAATTATTACAAGTTTAAAATTAAGTACATCTAATATAAAACTAAATCTAGGCAAATAGCTGATACAGTCACTACTGTCCTATTCCAACACCTTCACTCTTTTAGCAATAACTTGTCTTCATTCTTTTCAATGCCTTTGGCCATTTCTTTAGCAATAAATTCCAGGTCGGCCGACATAATTTTCTGAACAGTTTCACCTTTTTCTGCCATTATATCTTCGATATTTTTCTTACCATTCATGTCAGTAAACCAGTTTAAGTTATCAGCTATTAAATGTTTATTATCACAGCCTTCGCAAATTACGATGACAACTCCTTTGTAATACGCTAGTTTTGAAATGAATTTCGTGTTTCTTGTGTTGCATTTCTTACATGTAAACATCAACTGGAAAGTTCCTTCGGTCTTCTTGGGTTTTGGAGTCAATTGGATCTCGTTAATTTTTGGTGCCGATGTACTAAAGCTTCTGGGCGACTGTACTTTAGGTGTTGATGAAGATAGTGGAGCAGGGAAAAACAATCTTCGGCTGAAATATGAGTTTCCATTGCTTGGAAAAAATACAACGTTATTTAACAGCCGCGGTGTGTGGTACTTAACCACGAAGTCTATCAGTGTTCTGTGGGACATATTCAATGTCTGATATGCCCTTACTAATTTACCGAAAGGTCCAATTTTGATTTTGTTTCAATTGCACAGTGATTTAATAATTGCACCACTTTTCATCAGTCGCGCTCGCATTAAAAATGACAGTGACAGTGACCTAATAACATAACCTCACTTATTATAAACATATGATTGTCGTTCAGAAATGCTACTTAGGATTTATAAAGAAATACAACATCAAAATAATATGCCCTTTGACTGCTGAAACACCAGAAGTGACCAGAACCTTGTGTTTTTTTAATTGCCATTGGTACAATGCAAACATTTACGTACTGTTTTTGTATCCTGTAAGTAAAGTGAGTGTTTTAATGAAAAAATAAAAAATAATACGTAGAGGTTTACAGGCGCAGTAAAAGTAGTGACCATACTTGTGAGTTGCTTTGAGATTTTCTTTATTTCAACTTGGCAATACAATGATCTTTGTATTTTTTGACATTTGAGACCGTAGTGTAAAAATTGTTACCTACGTCTGTAATACGTCGAAAAAATTAAAAACAATTCAAATAACCTCAAATTTAAGTAGACAAAGTTTTATTTTCCTACCGTGTAAGCGGTACAAAATTCTAGCAATTATAAGGAATTCATATGGCTTTTAATAACTTATTATACTAACGATGCTATTATAATTTGTTATTTAAATGTATGTTTGTTGGTTATTTTGCCATAGTTTATATAAATTTGTGAAACATCAAAATTATTAACAAAGATGACTTCAGCCTGGTTTAAACCGGAATTAGCGGAACTTATAATCAACCATGGGGATATATTTAATGAGACACACAGCATTATCGCTGGTAAGCTATTGATCTTTTTGGCAAGACCAAATATCACTATTTAATTTCACAAGGACGTGTAATCGATTCCCTAAAAAGAATTTCAGTATTTCCATGATAAAATTACATAATAATAATAGCTATAAATTGGAATCGATACTCAATTGTTTCAATAATTCCACTTTTAATCAATGATCTAAAAAATTTCTATTAAAAACACTAATAATGTTTCACAATTTTGTTTCCAGACATTGTATCAGGTCACTTAGACATTGCAGATCTCGTAGAAAACATGGCGGGGGTTCTAACAAACAAAGAACCAGAAAACCGAGAGAAAGGGATGAGTTTCTATACAAAAATATTAAAAGAACTTCCCCGAGACTACCTTAATGATATGCAAGTCAAGTTTATATCTAAGTTCTATGTAGACAGACTTAAAGATAATCACCGAGTTATTCCACCGGTAATAGAAGGGTACTCCGTGTTGATTGACATGTCTGAGTACAAAATGCAAAATTGTACTGATTTCCTGACCATACTGTTCCGAGAAGTAACCTGTCAGTCACAAACTAGGCAGGATAGATATAATATCTATGTTATCATACAGAAATTGTGCAATAAGGATATTGAATGTAAGTATGGCATCTATGCAAGTATTATTAGTATAAGTTGAAGAATTTGTTTGAGCATGCTTATCTCAGGAACTGCTGATTTGAAATGAATTATTCTATTATCTATGTATACATAGAAGATGGCCATAAAATATTATTGAAGCTAAGCAGCCAAACTGCATTGGATTTAGTAGTTTTAATAATCCATGTATAATTTTCTATTAATATATACAATAAATTCTGTAATAGTTCTGGGAATGCTAATTTGAAATCATTGTCACTTAAAGGTTGATGATGGTTATTCCTAAATGTATTTGTTAAAGTAATTCAAATAACATGTAGAATGTTTAAAAAAAGATGTTATAATCATTTTTATGTTTTGTTTAGACTGAATACGTAATACCTAATAGATATTGGGTATTTAATTAGTTAACTAGGTAGTTTTATAAAGATATTTATTTTAAACTATCAATTAGGAACTACACAATCGAGATGAACAAATACTAAAAATGTATTGGATTAAATTATGTCAGTGTATGTTCAGTGTATCCTATGAATTAAATTTCTCTAAATGGAATTAGGTAGAGTGGTAGCACCTTTATCCAATTTTTAGGGTTCCAAAGCCAAATTGTCAATTGTCATGTCTGCCTGCCCATTCTTTCATATGTCAGAGACACTTTTATGTGTTCTTACTTCAATGAGACTTATTAAATTATTATTCCACATATTTATTATGTTTAATGGCTTACATACATAAAGGTTTGACAAGAAACGACACATAGCGACGCGTCGAAAGGCGCGGAATTTCGCTCGTAAATATCCTAGCATCCCTACCGTGGCTTGAAACTAGTCTAGTTCTTCAGTTACATAAGAGAGCTGTTGAACATAACTTTTCTTCTTATATCTATAACTATAGCTTACAAGAAATCGGTTCATAATGTTTATAACAACTTTATGAGACATTCTTATCAAAAATAGTTTATCTTAAATGTTCATGTTACGAAATCATAATAAGAGTGAACAAACAAAAGATAAAGTTGTTTTAAGTTAATTGTTTAATCAATGGAATAAAATGTTTGCCCTTTACCCATTTGGAAGACAGTGGAGTTTATTAGTATTATTATGAAAAATATTTTGACTGAATGATACCGTCTTTTTTGGACAGTAAACGAACAGACGAATTACTGACACCCGCAATACCAGAGAAGTTACGAATGCGTTAATAGTCGTTTGGGTCTTAAGGTTTCCGAGATTTAGGGATTGGCGAAGGATCGGAGGAGGGGAAAAAGGATTGGGCTTCTGGTAACCTCATTCACACTCTCTCTTCCTATTTATCTCTGTTATATTATTAATCATTAAAGTGAAAGTAACCTTGTTGAACAAACAGACAGACTAAAATTATAAAAAGCGTTATGTACCGTAGGTGAATGAGGTACGGTACCGTATAAAAGTCGGTTATTTCAATATTACCAACAGATACTCAAATGTTATTTAGATGTGTATTTACGCCTAGACTAGGCGATGAGTGACCGGTGGTGACTTCTTTATTCCATGCCATACCTTGACAGAATCTTGTGTCTGACTAACAATTTCACATTCCAGATTTGAAAAGCCTCGGCTCAGACTTCGTATACGGAGTTATAACGGCCATGGACGGTGAAAGAGACCCGCGAAACCTAGTATTCCTATTTCAATTCCTTCAAAACTTCATAAAGAACTTTCCTCTTGGTCATTTGGCCGAAGAAATGTTCGATGTAATCTCCTGTTACTTTCCTATTGACTTCCATCCTTCGAGCGACGATCCTGCAGCGGTGACGAGAGAAGATTTGGCCAATTCTCTTATGCCATGTCTGTGTGCCATACCTGAGTTTGGCGATCCCTGTATCATTCTGCTGATAGAGAAATTGGATTCTAACTTGAGATTGGCCAAAATTGATTCTTTGAAATTGTTGGTAAGTATAACTTTTAAAGATTTTAATAAAATTTCTTGAACGTTGTGTGATTGATGAGCTAGCTTATCGCGATAATGGTAATGAGTTCTGGCTTGTACTGTGTGTACTGTGGTCTACACGTTGTCGAGACGCAAAGATTATTTTTAAATATCTATTGTTCGAATCGGTATTTAGTTTACTGTGCTGAAGCAAAGCATTTCTATAACTTTTCTATAATTGATCTATTTTTTATAGAAGAATTGTAAAAATACATAGACTGCACGGTTGGCGCGGTGGCTGGGTAAACTGGGTCGCGGCTTCGATTCAGGCACAGAACAACTATTTGTCTGATCCATAAATTGTTGATTTGGGCCTGGGTGTGTTGTGTATGTGAAATTGTACGTTTGTAAACGCATCCACGACACCGGAGAAAACTGAAAATCCTAGTGTGGTGCAACGTTCTCGTTAAACAAAAAAAGCAAACGAGTTGCTGATTTTTACTGCTTAGGTTTAAAAGCCCCTAGCGTGGCTTGATACCCGCCGAACATGAGTACCTTATTAAATATAGAAATCTTATTGAATTTCAGGTCGAAAGCTGTAAAACATTTACGCCACAATCCTACACGCCATTTTTGAGAGCTCTGTGGTCTTCACTGAACAGGGAGATGTCGCACAAAACTGATGACGAATTAAAAACTATTGCACACGAAGCGTTAGGCGCTTTAGTTGCTAAAATGGCATCAACTGCTAACACAGATCAAGCCTTCGAGAATTTCCTAAAAGGGATTATTATTTCTGCACAAAGCACTATAGCGGACGCCACTACAGTTGCACAGTTCGTCAAAGGCACTAAGGTACTCCTAACTGCCGCAAATGCTTCCAATCAATCCTGTGCATCAATCACAAGAGCTATGGTCCCCGCAACAGTAGCGTATTATGAACTCAAAACCGCGCCAAAATTGCAAATAGCAAGTTTGGACTTTATTGGAGACCTGTATGAGATTGCCAATAAGAAAGGCTTGTTGGATGAAGTTCGAGCGCAAATAACGAATGTACCACAAGTATGCCTGTCGGCTGTAAGCCAGTCTTCCAAAGAATTCCAAATGGCAGGCTTTAAGACATTGATCAGAGTGCAGGAATGTTTAGGCGAAGATCTTGTATTACCATTCGTTGAAGTGCTCATCTACAACGTCCAACACGCACAAGACAATGATCTACTCAGTATAAGCGTTGAAACAATACATGTTATAGCAAGAAAATACCCGGAACTAATCATGAATTTAGTGGTCAAAGGGAAATGTAGTATAGAGAACATATCGCAGGACAAAATTGCCTTTCAGAAACGATTAAACGTGCTAACAAACTTGGCGAGTATAGATGACTTTACAAAAGTTATCATTGAAGAAATGTTGAAGATAATCACGGCTAACGACCCTGAAGCTTTGCATGTGGTTGAAGCGCTAAGTGGGTCCATTTCTATGGCGTCTGTGTTTACAACTGAGAAAGTGACGCAGATAGAGAGCGATCACGGATTGATTGATCCTGTACTAGATTGGTTGTATAAAGAAATTTCGTCGTCAAGTCCAGACGCTTTAGCACATGGCTACACATTAATAGCGAATACTATAGGTAGCTTACCGCCAGAAAAACAGGAGAATATTCTAGTGAAACACACGCCTCAGGCCTTAGAGCGGTGTATGCAAGACGATATTTATTTCCTTATAATAGAATGCTTGTACACTTCGTTGCATCAAAGCGTGTACAATTCAAAGTTTGAAGAGATTATGACCGTGGCTTTGCAGGTCGCTTTAAAGAGTGATAAAGATCTGCTAAGAACTAAAGCGTGTGTGTTAATAGCACATTTGTTGAATAAGGCTGAACATGGACAGAAGTTTGAGTTGTTATATGAATTGTTGAAAACGCAATTAGCGTCGTGTAATAGAGAAGATGAGAAACTTTGTCCAAGGTTAATACAGTTGTATGGGTGGATAACTAAGTCTTTGTTGATGAGAGGCAGTGATGTATTCTTGTTTTGGTTGCAAAAGGTAAGATAATCGTACCATGTTGCTTACAAGTTAGGCGCTTATGTACATTTAAGTTGAGTCTAAATCACTGTGATAAATGTAGGTAAATGTTTGAATAGCCATGAATATGTAAGCTTATGTGTTATAATAGACCAATGAGAACTTGATAATAAAAGTGCAATCTCTTTTGATCTTCAACCCACTTACTACAAGAACTTGAGTGAGTTCATAAAAGTATGTAATCACTCTTACACCCGGTTTCTGAAAGGCTTGTCAACGCTAAAATTAACTAACCTTCTGTTTAATCTCTTGTCAAGTCATCTGATTGGTTGTTGATAATTCAGGCAACCAATCAGATGACAAGAGATTAAATTGATTTTAACATTGATCGGCCTTTCGGAAACCTGGTGTTAGACATATATTTTCATCTCTTTCGCTCAAATTGTTATACGTATGTGCAAGACAAAGTTAACTAGAGGAACACAGTTTCGTCAAATGATGTCTACTAAAAGATGAAAATGTTTTCTTTCTCTTTCAGATAGTGGGAATTTTAGCAATTTCACAATATTGCACGCATGGTTCGGAGGCTATTAAATTAATTATGAACGAGAACACAGATTATTTGAACAGAAAACAACATTGTAGGATAAGTCTCCTATACAAACAGAGAATGTTTGAAACATTCTCAGCTTTGACTGAGAAAATTAAGCCTAACTTGTCTGCTGAAACTAAAGAGAGTTATTTATTAAGTTGGGCCTATGTATTGGATAAGGCACCGAAGACTGTACTTAAGAATGAGGCTAATAAGGTAGGTTTTTCTGAAGCTGTTTAGCTATACAGGGTGTTAGGTTAAACAAGGGACATATTCAAGGACCCGATTCTGGTGCTCAAATAAAACAATTTTTCTTGCGAAATGATCAAACAGTTTATGCGATTTGTATGGGTAAATAATTTTATTTTTTAGATATCGATATTGGTCCCATGGAAAAAGTTGTTGAGCACCAAAATCGGCTCCTTCAGTATGACCCTCGTTTAACCAAACACTGCATTGGTTTCAATCTCTTCATACTTTGCTAAATTGCTATAAATTTCTAACTTTCAATACACTTCAACTAAAAAGATGCATTTGAATGACAAAGAATTTTGTGTGTAATTAAATTGCAACCTCAAAAAGTTTCTGTCTGTTTGTTAAAATTGTTAATTGTGCGATCCACAAATTGTTGGTACCGATCTGGATGTGATGTGACCACCCAAGACAAGAGAAAGTCCTAGTGAGGATGATCCCTTTTCTAAATGTCAGAAAATAATAAAATATTAAAAAAATGCAATACGGTACTGTTGAGTCATGCACTCAATGATTCTGAACTGAACTATCGAACCCAACAGTACCGTGGCCTCGGCCTGGAGCAGGAGAACGAACGAGGGAGCTTTTAGTCAGTAAGAGTCTGATACTCCCTGTCGCCATACCTTAGACGAGACAAGTCCGTTGATGATTTTGCCCATCACAAAAAAAAGTACTAATATTGTGTGACATTTATTTCAGATTGCACCAATAGTGATAGATTGCCTAGAATATGACAATAAGGATATGTTACAAGTTTCCCTCGACGTGCTATGCCATTTTGTGCAGTCCAGCCCCACAGCGGTATCAGACAGCTTACAGACAATATTGCCTAGGTTAATTGCTTTAAGCAAATACATGAAATCAATGGTAAGTTTCACCAACGGTTTTTTATTATGGTAGATGGCGCTTTTGTATCGTTAAGTCCCTTTATTACACGTGGGCCATACTAGCGGAGGATTTGCCTTTAAACAGTTATCTGTCGGCATTCAACGATTTATTTTAGTATTTTTTAAGCTAATTTACAAGAATTAAGTTCCTGTATTATTTATTGTAAACAAACATGACGTGAAACTACACATACAAAGTTCATGGAAGTCAGCCAATTTTCAGATTTTTAGCATTTCAAAAATTCTGTAGCTCCCACTGTGATTGTAGTGTTATTTTGTAAATTAAAATAAATATCTTAGCCTAAAGTAATATTTTTTCTTCCAGGACGTTAGAATAAAGAGTTTAGAGTGCCTTTATGACATAGCTAATACTTTCCGAACTTCGACTCTATTGCCATACAAACAAGACGTACTATTAGATCTAGCGCCCGCACTTGACGACAAGAAGAGATTAGTAAGAAACGTCGCCGTTCGTGCGCGTTCTCGCTGGTTCCTTGTTGGCGCACCTGGAGAAGATAAACCAAATTAGACCAATCAGAATAAACACTATTTTAAACATAGCAACACTAATTAAATGTCAAATTCAAATTGACAAGTGTAATGGAAAAGGAATTGCTTGTTTAATTTTTAAATTAAGAACGTTGTTGTTTTTTTTTTATTTTGTTGTATTTAAATCTTTTGTTTATTGTCTTTGATGATGGTTAAATAAATTGCTATTCAAAAGTAAACAGATTATGTTTATGAAAGTCCTTAGAGCAGGGATACATTTTGATTTTAGAATAAAAATAAATTATCATAAATCTAAACCATCAATACTTCTTTCTATCACAATTGGACATTATTATCTATTGAAATAATGTCAGCTTCGAAAATGTCCTTATTCTATGACTTTAGTAAGACAAATTATTTTTTAATGTAATACGACTTATTTACGTAACTGATTAACTATGAACTAGACTAGTTTCAAGTTACGCTAGGGTCTCATATTGATTTGCTACTGCGCAATGCAGCGAATATCGCTCAAAGACTGGCTTAAAGCTAGTCGAGTTCTTGTCAAAAAGTAAGTAAGTAAGCCGTTAAAAAAATAATTCAAAAATGTTTTCTTTTATTTTTTATCTGTTGAAACTATGTATGTAAACCTCTGTGATCTTCTATATCAATGACGTATAAAAATGCAATTCTGTTGCTAAATGTAGCAATAAAAATGTGACCCGCTTAAAAGTGTTGTAAGTAGTAATAAAAAATTAAATAGTCGAATTTGTTTTGTGATCTGAAAAGCGGTGTATACCAAATTGTTATAACATAATAAATATCTATGTTTCTGTCCTTGTTGACATAGAAATGCTTTCCAAAATTATGTACATTAATAAATTGTATATTTTATATAACACAAGTTTTCTTTTATTAGTGAAAGTTCCTTGGTTTTATTTGACATTTCTTTCACTGATATTTTGGTGTTTATAACTTTTTTATTTTCTTCTGAGAAAGAAAAGGTACTTTTCTTTGGCTTCAAATTCATATTGTTAACATTAAATGTAAAAATATGCAATAACTCAAATTCAACAAAGAAACAAAAATACGGTTTTTTTTGTAAGATTGTGGTAACACTGGTCGAGCACACATTTGTGCCGAAGCATGGCTCTTTCATGTAAAAAGGTTTGAAGACAAGCTTATTGCTTAAGTCTAGCACGGATTTGCTAAAATATTCGTTTCCCGCTATTCAGTATCGCATACTCCTGTTGTAACGCTGACCATCTGAGATCTGATTGACGATAAATTTATTACTAATGACGTCGCAATTGATTCTTGCACGCGCGCAAGTTTCTACAAAGAAAATCACATCGTACCACCAACTTTTGGGCAGAAGCCCACCAGTCTTAAAAAACTCGCACAGTCGATCCTTTGTTTCCAATCTAAGGAAAACTCTCAAATAGCCAAACGGTAGTTAACAAATTTTCCGCCACCCTTCATTAAACATTAAGACTAAATCGCTTTTAATTGGATGTCTGGAGTATCAAAATATCTCTCCCATCCTAAATATGCACAATAAAAATAATGAAGGACAAATTCGATGCATATTAAACGAGTTCGTACTCGTTTTGGAAGGGTGCATCGATAATGTTTCGTCTGCAGTCAGCACCCGATTTAATCCTTTTTCAATTTTGTCTGCATTTGGATACTCTCAATTAACAAGTTTTAATTAATTCGATGGTAATTGAGTTGGTAAAGTACATTGAACGCCTCGTTGGTTGTGAGATCGCAAGCGTTACTCCTGCGATGAGAGCTCTGGGACACCAGAGAATTAAACTGGACACTTTTTATGAAGAAGGAAAATTTTCGAATATCTCTCTTGGCCAGTGTATAGCAATGACAATCGAATTAAACCATTTTAGATTCGGTTTTTGAAGACCTCCTAAGCACGGATTCAGGGATTCAATCGAGTCTGTCGATAATAATCTCATTCGCGAATTCCATAAAGGACTCATTCACCCTATAAATAAGGCTGAAGAGAATGTTTAAATGCGCTTACCTCCTAAACCACTGGTTCAATTTCAATATTAAGTTTTCATCTTGGATCACGCATAAATGATACAGGAAAATATGACTCTACGGCTATAGGATGAAATCGTGCATTCGTGTCTAATAAAAAATGACGTTCCTACATTTAATATCTGCAGGACTCTAACGTGCAAGCGTAACAGTGTTGGTTCGTCCGCCCCGGACTGGAAAAGAAGAAACGAGGTGGATTTTAGTCAGTAGAAGTCTGATACTCCATCTCACCCCACCCAGGACGGATTTTGTTGATTTGTCTCGCTCGATCGTTATCTCAAATTTTTTGATAAAAAATCTTGGTTATATTTAGAAAGGAGTTTTGTAGGTTTTGTCATCAACATCTACTGGATCTCACTTGATCACACAAAGGGTTGAGAAGTCAAAACAAAGCAATACAAACATTTAGAAGACATTTTCAACATTAGTGGGTACATGAAACCTAGTTATTGAAAGCAATGGATAATATTAATTCCTTATGACTCTTAAACCACGCCATTTGTTATAAGAATGATTTATCTATAAGAACCCAACCTAACCGTAAACGTCTGGAAAGATAATAGAGAACGGAAAGGCAAGTCTTATATAGTTGTTGTCGAATAGATACGGGCACCTACGTCAGTAAGCAATAAGTCGAGTTACATCCAGTTTTTTTTAGGGAATAATTTTATCCAATCTCTGCTCCCGATCTGGTAGAGGCAAAAGAAAGTACCTTTCTTTAGGTCGGCAAACGAGCAGACGGATTCTGATGGTAAGCAATCAGCCCCGCCGATGGACACCCGCAACGGAGGAGTTACGAGTGTGTTGCCGACCTTTTAGGAATTAGGGATTTGGAGATTTAGGGATTGAGGGAGGGGAAGGATTGGGCCTCCTGTAACCTCACTCACACGGCGAAACACAACGCTGTGTGGTTGTTTCACGGCGGTTTTCTGTGAGGCCGTGGTCGTATCAGACCTATCACATCTATCACTGTCTGTCTTATAAAACCCTTAAAATTCCAACTCTATTCAAAATTTTCCAGCAAGGCTTGCCTTCAGCTATTACTTCCTTTTCTCTATATCCTTAACCGATTCCGTGCGGAAGTCTTTTTAGCAATCTTTAGTGCCTGGCGTCAAACAAAAATTCTGTGATGCCTCTGAGGCACCAAGCGCCAGAAAGTTTGATGATTCCCCTGGGGAATCATCCGCCATGAATTCTCACTTTTAGCTTGTTTTCGTGTTTCTACTTGCTAAAATAATTATTTGACATTGTGTATCTAACGTAGGCAGCCAGTAAATTCGTTCAGTGCGTTTAAAAGTGACGATCTGTGTGTTTTTATGGAAATGGAAGGTAAGTGACTAATTTATATTAGGGGTCGTAAACCTTTTTGCATTATTTCATGGATTTATTTATTCAAGTGTTGTAAAGAATTTATACACATACAAGAATTTGTACTACTTGAGTTTGTCGCGAGGTGATATTTATTTATTATTATTTATAATACAGTGTTTTGTAGGGAAACAATTTTAACTAAATTGTTTCTCTACAAAATACTGGATTACTGTAGAACATTTAAGTGAATGGGAAGTCCGATTCTAATGAATCAAACATATTGTACTCGTAGGTACCTATAAACATTTAGGTACATGATTTTGAAGTGTTTTATTTGGATAAGAATGTACCTAAATGTGTACCTTTTATTGATAAAAAATATCTGTATATCCATTTAAAAACGTGGATTTTTGTTAAGCGTTTAATTGACAAGTTTTTTATTTTGTTGTTGAAATACGGTACTTCGTAGGCGAAGGGCCGGCGAACAGCGCACTCTTTGTACGTTTTTAGGCAACAATGAACCTTATGACAATAACATTTGATTTTTGAGAAACATTCCAGAAAGTGGGCTGTTAGAATTATAATCAATAATGAAATGTGTCGGCAACTTGGTTTACAACCCCTGATGTCAGCTAATTTGCGAAATTACTTAAAACGAACACTGTGGGCATGATAAGGGTGACAAATAAAGACACTTTTATTTGGGGGGCTCTTTTAACGAATGTCGTTTAAGCCGAGTTTTGTATGATTTAGTTTTGTATCCTCTCGGGCACCATACGCCATACGCAATAGATTTACATGGTGCCTGTGCGGCATCATCCGCACGGAAACGGTTAACTTCCTACATAAAAATGAAACAAAGGAACTCAATAAAAACACATTTACAGCTACAACCCCCCACAGCCACCTAGGATTAGTCGAACAAATCTGAGCCACTAACAATTTGATCTGAATTTGCATAAGCTCTTATCGCATTGCGCGCGTTTGCACCACTTTAAATGTTAATGAAGGGTTGGTCGTCCTAAAACGGAGTTTTTGAACGGTCCACTGGATTATTCAGTTGAATTATTAAGTTTTAAATTGATGTTTTTATTACGGTTTAGTATCTTAGTAGTTAGTTTTACATTGAGTGGTCGTGTCGATAGTTTGGTATCTAAATGCTACAATGATCACGAGGTCTCTATTTACTTAAAGGAGTCTATGTGTTTTGTCAACATATTTAAACACCCTGCGAAAACCTAGACTTATAATTTCTGATTATAAATTTGTAGCCAATACGCCTTGAGCAAATGTAGTGATTAATTCTCAAACCTTCCTTTCCCTTTACTCAGTGGGCAGTGATGATGAACTAAGGCAACTTGAAGAAATCGAGGGAAGCCTATGGTTAGCAGTGGATGACTGAGTGTTAAATCTGATAATATGCGGTCGAATTGATTCATTCTCATATAAATAGGTACCTACCTAGGCGCATACAGCGATTTACCTACATACTACCATAGGCAGATCAACTTCTAAATGAATTTCTTTCATCCGGAAAGTTGAAACAGGACTCAATATTACCCCAGTTCCCAACTATGTAGGTTAATACCGCCTTACAGAGGAAGATTTTTGCAAAGAAAAAAATGGTAAGTAAACTTGTTCTTTAATCCCGAAACTCTCCCCATTGAAACTCGGCCCAGACAAATCCTATTACCAGTTGTACCTA